CCCCCGCCCGCCCCTTCCCTTCTCATTTTCCATGGTTTCCATTCTTATTCCTATCCAGTTCATCGAATTGACTTCATTAAATGTTATCGTTCACATGACAGGTCTTGTGTCATTTTATGTCTGCTCCAACTGTTCAGTGATACATGATCATAATAATAGCCCCTTGGATAAGATGGATAACTTTTCCTAATCAATGAACGATTTTGTGCCCCCAACCTTTATCGATTGTACACAACTACACACAGACACACACACACACATGTGGTCTTATCGTTTTATTTTTCTCTGGGGACTTTACCCCCTCCCCCCCCCCCGCGGGCNACTCACACACCTTTACCACTCCCATGACAAACTCATTCATCCTCTCTGTTTTTCCCAGTGTTTTTTTTTGTTTGTTAAGATTATCCTCCCCCGCCTCCAAATAAGAACAAATGAAATTTCCGGGCTTTATATGCCATCTATAACATTTTGTACAGACACATGTGTATTCGAGTCCCCTTTTCACCAGCCGGTAAAACTGTTCCCGTTCTATCGATACTTCTACTCCCACCCCGCCCCGGGGGCGGCAGGGGCGGCGGGGGGGGGGGAATGTATCTTTCACGTCTTTTTCCACTTGATTTCGAATCCCAACTTGTCCTTCCGTTACCCACCACCAAACGGAAATCTGAACGAACTCAACGCGATGTGCGCTTGATCTCGTTCTGTCCAGTCATGCAGTGCGTTTCACTGGCCTCGCTATTCTCTTCGCAATTGTTCCAGCTGCTAATAATAAAGTTCTTAAGTCGAAAAAATCTTGTTTGGTGAACGCTTGCCGAGTCAGAACTAAAACGACACACACACACACACGTGCCCGTTTTGCATCAGAACTAGGGCAAGACCTAGACACGCTGCGAGGTGGTAGTGTAGATGAATAGTGGGATCAGATTAGACGGGCAATGCATTCCGCAGCGAACGTTGCTTGTGAATCTGAAGCGGTAGCCCACCCCGAGGCATTGAATATCTGATGAGGCAGTAGCACTGATGGAGAAAAAGCGGTAAAACCTGACCGCCCGGGATCAACGCCGGGGTAGATGGCGTCTGTAATTTCAATTCAAGAAGAGACTCAAAAAGATCGTGAGAACTGGTGGACAAATATAGCTAGTAAAATAAAAATAGCAGCCGCATTAGGGAATAGTCAAAGACTGTTCCAACTGATACGCAATACGAGAGGTCGGTGAACCACAGTTAGTGAAACAATCTGCGACAAAAGTGGACAAGCTATTCACAATAGAGAACAACGGCTTGACCAGTGGGCGGAGTACTTGAACGAACAGTTCAGCTGACCAGGCGCTAACCAGACTATCTTCTCTGGTGTAGGTGAGGCTCCGTGGGCAGTGTCATGTGAACCTCCTACTGCAGCAGAAGTTTGATCTTACATCCAATCCCTGGGCAAAAGAAAAGCAGCACGACCGGACGGGCTTACTCCTACTGTTTTCAAGATGGAGGGGCAGTAACCTCGTAGACTCTATTACTGATCTATTACGTAACATCTGGTCACACGAGCGCATTCCCTCATCTTGGAGCGAATCACTGATTGTTGCAATTTTTAAGAAGGGATCTCGCAATGACTGCGCAAACCATCGTGGAATAAGTTTGATTCCAATCATCACCAAGTTATTAGCCTCCATCATACTTCGGAGTTTGAAACCGTTGAGGGAGACAAATATCCGCGAACAACAAGCAGGATTTCGACCAGGTCGCGGTTGTATCGATCATATCTTCACTCTGTGTCAATTCCTCGAGCTACGCCATACGCACCGTCGACCAACGATTGTCGTGTTCCTTGACCTAAAAGGAGCCTTCGACTCAGTTGACCGCGAATTCCTCATGGGTTCATTCCTTCTCAAAGGAATGTCACAGACGTATGTGAACTAAATGAGTCCACTCTATTCACATATCTCCGGTAGTGCGAGGGTTTACAATGAAATAAGTAGGCCGTTCGTAACTAGTAGAGGTGTTCGTCAAGGGTGCCCTCTTTCACCATTCTTGTTCAATTTCATCATGGACAAAATACCAGAGAACACACTAAGTGGTCTCCAAAATGTAGGTATTGAATGAGCAGCTGGAGAAAAGCTGTACAATTTGGAGTACGCTGACGACATCGTCTGCTTGTCCAAATGTATGGAGGA